AATTTTTTATATACAAATAAATTATTTAAAATTTATCTACTTTTGAGAAAATATTTTGTTACTATAATTTTATTTTTATCGTTATTTATGATAATAATAATAATTTATCTTAAATGGATAATGTATCATTACTGACTTGTTATGCTAATTATCATTTCTCTCTTTATCTTTTAAACAGAACATAAAGGTATGTTATTAATGACATAATATATATAGACATTTCATCTTAATTTAAAATTACGCACGCGTACAAAAAATATATTCAATAAAAACAGACTTGAAAGAGACAAATATAAATAATTTAATAAAACATGAAGACAAGACAGTAATCAACAAATGTGTCGTAAAGTCTCTCGCAAGTCTCGCTAGAATTATCATGTACTATGCAATAATGCACATATTTTATATTGCTCACATTTCATATTTTTAATAATAGTAATTAACAATCATATTAAGTACTAATTTGAAACAATATTTAAGGAGGGTAAAACGACAATCGGAGGAATATTTTCTTTCGCTGCGGAAGATCGTTTGGTCCAAAGCTCTTTTTAACAGTCGACGTTAAAGCCGCAACGTAATTAGCATCAGAAAAATTTCGCGGAGTCGCGTGGCCGCGAATGAATACGCGATTAAAACCACCGCCGCTTCTTCGAAAACAGAATTGGTTTTGTTGAAATTACTCCCGAGTAATCCCGTAATAATATCAAGGTACGTTAAATCTAACCTTTTTGTGATCTATGATAAGTTACTCTCTCATTAATTAAGTTTTTCTTAAGTTCTTTCTAATCCTTCTCAAGCTGTCTTTTTTAATAATAATATCGTATACGCTTCTTCTATAAATCTATCGCGAAGAGATCAATTCTCCTTGAAAACTAATGTACAGCATTAGCTTTTCGCGAGTAACTTAAATGGCTCCTCAAAAATAATCAATAAAACACAAGACGAGTTTGAGATTCCCTTAAGCACAGAGGATAATTGCGGAGGACGAAGAGCGATTTGTGATTCCTTCCATGAAAAGTGAGGTGAAAAGTAATCCATCCGAATCACGACAGGGTGGGGAATTGCGATACGTTCGAGGAAGCATGTTGAAGAAACTTGTGCTGATTATTTCTATAACGATCCACCGTAGAAATAGACAGTACAATCTGTAGCGGAGCTTTTCTCCATAAAACGAAAAGGCAAATAGAGTCTTCTTCGCATTGACCCATTCACGGAAAAATATTCGTCGATGAAAAGCATTCGTCGACGCCTTGGTAACCTCAGAACGTAGAAAAATTGGTTCCTGTACAGCGTTAAAATTTATACGCACGTCTCGTGGAAAACGCGTAGATTTATACTACATATGCGCGGTATAAAAAGTACATGTAAAATTGAAAGGAGGAATGTGAAATGGGATTCAAAAAGATAGTATCCAAACGCTCGATTTCTTCTCTCCGAATGCCTCGGCGCATGCCAGCGGTTTCACTTAAGTATTTTCATCAGCGGTTGAAACGAGAGCTCTTTAAGGTGCTCTTGGGCACTCTTCACGGCGAGGACGAACGCTCTTGCGGTAGGAGAGGCGAGAACAAAAGCGCGCAAATGCGAAAGCATCGATAATTAACAATTCCGCCGGTGAACGGACCATCCTCGTTCTTCCCTGTTTTCTTTCTTTTTTTTTTCCGACCAGTAAAAAAGCGACTCGTCCGTTACGTTTGCTTCCGCGCAAAAAAGTGCAATGCTGCATATGTATGCGATATTCATGTAGTAAAGTAATGCGAAATGATGTGTCAATGACACGTAAATCGTATGTTTGTAAGTCCTATTGAATCGGTAAAACAGACAACTTTAGGATCCCCCTAAAGGTTAATTTAATCTTCATCGTTGCCAATTCAATCTCGTTCTGGCAATTTATGCGAGCAAGCTGCAAAAGCCACCCCGTGGGAAAAATGAAACAAGCTGATATTTATTATGTCGGGCTTTTGAAAGAATCAAGCGCTTGCGCGAGTCTCCAATTCAGGTTGGGGAATGAGACGGAAGAAACCTAAATCTTGCGGAATAAAGAGAGTACAACAGAAGTGTCGATAATTAACAAGAAGGGACGAAGTGTGCGTTATGCGTTCTCCCGGAGAATCGGGGTAACAATGGTCATTAATTTTGACGTATGACTTCTCGTCGTTCGTCATCCGCTTCGGCACCCGCTGAAGTATTTACTGTCATTTTAATGACCCTGTTAGGTGACGTGGACCGGCTTAATGCCGACCGCTTGGTGTTAACGTGAAATAGCACCCTTTTAGGACCATCCAAGCGAGTTTCACTCTTTTAGCCTTTTTTAGCGCAGTTGTAACGAATCGAAGTTACTCGACTTGTTTTTTCTTACTTTCCTTTTCACGTAAACGTAAATAAGTGTTACGTTAACGTGAGATCATCTGAATGCCCGAATAAAAATATATATTTGTTTTTTTATTTTTAATAAAAAATATAATTCAATTTCACGATTTTTAAACCATGTCGATTTACGCGTTATTGACGACGAACGAAATTCTCTCTTTCGGAAAGTCCGACAGTAAATAGCAGAGTGGGGTTCCGCCCAGTCGTACCTTGAATGCCTCCTTGAAAAGCCTCTCGAGTAGAGAGGAAGGACAAAGAGAGCGCTATAAAATATACTCCGGAAGCAATTTAATTGTTTTTGCATATAGATTGAATCGAGCCGGCCAAAAAGAAGTTTTATTTGCATGCATTTTCGATACCGATCAACCAATTCATCATCGTATCATTTGCGTTTCTTTCTGGATATCAATAAAATAAATTAAAAGAAATTTTTAGATAAGAAATTGAATTATCTCGCAATATTTTTCAAATAATTGTTTATTTATGATTTTTCCTACAATATTACGATGCAATAAAATATTAATTGCAATATAAGCTAAGAAATAAATAATACATACATGCATGAGTTACTCTGCTACTTCATTTGTCGTAATTAGTTAATGAAATGACGAGGGAAGAATGTGCATGACTGGGGCTTCAACAAATGAATGCGCCATAGATTGAACGTATGACTGAGACAACGAGTGAATGGTTGAGTGTACAAACAAACGGATGAATGAATAAGCAACGGTGAATATAAACGGGCAGAGTGCTTATTACGCTTTTGCGATATTTCGCAAAGCATTATTAAATATTTTTATACAAATATTTTTATACTCGTATTTATCTAGAAACGTGACTCGGCTCGTGACGAGCTTAAACGTAAATAAATTGAATTTCCACACAAGTATTTGTATTTTACAAAATTAGATAAGAATTAAAAGCAGTAAAAATTGATCGAACATCTCATTATATGTCAAATAAATGATTAAGACAGTGTTATATTTATGATTTGGATTTAAATAAATCACATATTTAATAAAAACTAAAAATCAAAAAGTTATCAATTACCTCGTCATATATTCTAGTAAATAAAGGATTAAGGACATATCAGGTGTACAATCTCTGCAAAAAATGACTGGCACTGAAAATTTATATTTTTCGTATAAAAATAAATGTATACAAAATTGTTCAATATTTATATTTAAAAATATAATTTTATAATTTAATTGAAAATTGTTTCTCATCTTATCTTATTGAAATAAT